CTTCCTCCTCCCCCCAGGTGGTGCAGGGGATGGGGAATGAGGGCTGCAGTCAGTTCATCACATGTTGTCTCTGCTCCTCCTTCCTCCTCAGGGAGAGGACTCCTCATACTCTTCCCCTCCTCCAGCATGGGGTGCCTCCCATGGGAGATAGTCCTCATAAACTTCTCTTATATGAGACCTTCCCACAGGCTCCAGTTCTTCACAAACTGCTCCAGAATGGGTCCCTTCCATGGGGTGCAGTCCTTCAGGAACAAACTTCCAGTGTGGGTCCCACACACAGTCACAGCAAACCTGCTCCACTGTGGCCCTCCATGGGCTGCAGGGACACATCCTGCCTCACCATGGTGTTCACAGCTGCAGGGCAATCTCAGCTCTGGCACCTGGAGCACCTCTTCCCCCTCCTTCTTCACTGACCTTGGTGTCTGCAGGGCTGTTTCTCTCACATATTCTTTCCTCTCTCTCCAGCTGTAGTTTTCACAGCAGGTTTTTTTTTCCTTAAATGCATTTTCCTAGAGGCACTGCCATCACTTCTGATGGGCTCAACCATAGCCAGCTGTGGGTCCATCTTAGACCTGGCTGGTATTGGCTCTGTCAGACATGGAGCAAGCTTCTGGCACCTTCACAGAGAAGGCACACATGTCAAAACCTGGCCACACAAACCAAATACAGGTCTATATATTCTTTTTTATTATCTCATAATAATAGCAGCAAGGGCTTGTGGAGGGAGAATTGGGATGGCCAAGATAGCACCAGGGCAGAGCTGTTGAGCTATGGTGTCTCAGGAGAGAAGTTTGCAACAGGTACCAGTCCCAGACTGGTCACAGCCTGACATTAGAGTGAGAATTCATCTTCACATAATATCAATTTGCATTCATCAGCTTCTCACCATCGTGAGCCACAACATTTCCTAGTTGAATTTCTACTATCTAGCTGAACTTCTAGTTTTGAAGAGAGAAATGAAGAAATGCTGATAATGCTCTTGGTCCCTGACCTAAATAGTACTGAAGGCTTTGCCTCCCATTTTCAATGCCATCACTTGTTACAGTAGGTACTGTTACCCAACACTGTGATGTTCCTGTTATTCCTATGCTGTTGTGGATTGTCTAACACAGCTGCAACTGCTGCTTCTTAACAATTCAGTACTGAATGCTTTTGTCTTGGACACTGTCAAAAATGTTATTGGAATTTCCTCTGTTGACAGTGGGTTCATCCATAAGGAGAGCTGAAACAACTGTGTGGCTTTCATAGAATCGTAAAATCATAGAATCAACCAGGTTGGAAGAGACCTCAAAGATCATCGAGTCCAACCCTACCGTGGTTACTAGACCATGGCACTAAGTGCCACATCCAGTCTCATCTTGAAAACCTCCAGAGATGGTGAATCCACCACCTCCCTGGGCAGCACATTCCAGTGTCTGATTACTCTCTCCATAAAAAATTTCTTCCTAACATCCAACCTAGCACTTTGGTTACCTGTAAAACCCTTCTAAATAATGCTGAGATAGGAAATACCCAGATACAGCAAGGTGGCTCATGTTTACAATTTTATTGTAAATGTCATATTTTCTAGAGGTTTGCTTTCAAAACCAGCTCTGCAGGAATATCTGAAGACCTCATCTGTTAGTTTTAAAAGTGAATTTTTCAGCTGTTATGTTGATAGGTACAGAATAATTCTTGGAGAATTAAAAAAACAGAGGAGAAACAAAAAGAACACAGTGTTTGTTATTTTTGAACTGATCTCATGATTTTTTGGTTTTCTGATTCATGATTTTGTCATGTTGATAGTAATGTGGGTGTCATGTAATGGAAATAAACAGTCCCTCCACTATTTCTGCTTTTGCCTAAATAGTCCTGTTTTTTTAAAGCACACAACTCATTAATTGCTGGTTGTTGGACTAATCACACAAATAAATTATAGTTATACAGG